TTCCCTTTCGTTCTTTGATAGCTGCATCTGTTTTAACATCTGAGATCGCTGTTCCATCATAAGTGTCTTCTCATATGTGAATGCAGAAATATCATTTTCAAACTGCAAAAAAGATTTGCATTAGAAACATCAGAAGAAGAGTACTAAGAAGTTTAGACACATTTAGACAGTTTACCGCATTCACTGCTGCTTTCATTCAGCTGTGGACATATTTATGGCATTAGAGTAATCCCAAGCACAGCAATCAATCAATCATTTCTGTCCTCATTCATAAAACTTCACCTTCAAACAGTAATCTCATACAATGAACTATCCTACTATAGCAATATCAATGTGCTTTTTATCTAAACTTGAGGTATTTGGGACAGAATTTCCACTGTTCTGTTCCAGCTAGGCTGCAGAAATTAGAAAGAGTTGAAAACACTAATTTAAACTGGGTCTGCATCGGTGACTCCTGAGTATCTGTGCACATTTGTTTCCTTAAAAACTGCCTAGAGCCACAAAATAACACATTGTCCTTTCACCAGTGAGAAATGTCCACCAAGAGAAGCATTTACAAAGAAACTCTGACATACATTCTCACATCAGCTCAAAGCTAAAATACAACATAAAAATCTACAGCTGTCATCTGTGTCATCACTGACTCCTAATGTGTCTCTTATCTTTCGGAAGATTCTCAGGGTTAAAAATGACCCACATAAGAATAAATTGGCATTCTGTTCATTTTCTTTCACCTGCACATGCCACAACATTGTAGTCTTTTACATTCAGTACCCTAAGCAAAACAAAGCTAAAATAAATAAAAGTATTTCTCTTATTTCTTAGTTCAAAACACTAACCAAATCTTTCATCAGTCATTTTTTTCAGAAGTAATTTAAATGATTCTTAACATTTGCTTTATGGACAATTAGCATAACACATCTTTTTGTCAGGTTTTGCTCATTCCAAGAACCAGTGGTGGTAGAAATTTTGAACCAGTTGACCCATCTTCTTCATTCCACTTCAGAAAGAATTTAAAAGGTTGGTCTTACTATGGATATTATGCTAGTCACCTCTGAGCACTGGAAATGAAGTTTTTTCTTAGCTGCCCAAAAAAAGAGGGTCTGGACAGACTACAGCTTTAGTCCTTTCTCTTTAGCAGTTTATGACCAGCATTTAAAAAGGGGTAAGTTACAAGCCAAATAGAGACAAAATGAATTTTGTAAATCTGTAGTTGTATTGTCTTGATGTTCAGTGACAAAGAGGCCGGCAATGCTGAGAACCACCGACACACTCTCATGGGGGCCTAGGGATTGCTTATTCCAGAGAGAGATTCATACAGCAGTTGGAGAGATGGACTTGTTCATCTTCTCTCAATGCTGGATGCCATGGATTATTAGATTAAGCACACTCCACCTTCCATTCCACTGCCTTTTTAAAATTCAAGCTTTTTCCTTCCCGAATGAACTATCTCTATGGACTAGCCCTCATAACTAAAGCAGGCATTAACAAATCAAAATGGCTCAACTCTGCTTGTCAAAACTCACTACCACATACACTAGCATTCTGACATGGTTGCCTTAAAAAACTCCTTCTTGGTGGGACTACAGTCTTTCCCTTTTCATATTTGGACTAACACCTCAGTTTCAAACATGCTAAATCCATTTTCCCAAGTCCAGTCTCAATTGCACCTAGAAAAAATATGCAGTAACATACCATTTCAACAACTTCCACTTCAGCATTCAGTCTAAGATGATATAAGAACATCTGAAGATCCTTCTTCATTTGAATGCTGTTATCATCCATTTGAGCAACGGTGAAGATACGCATTTTGCACCTTCTCCAAACCTATCAAGAAGATACATTATATCAATTCATAACAGTGATTGCTAGCATCACGCATAACTCTACCAAGGTGAAAGAGTATTTCATTAGAAATGCTTAGAACTATTCATAGCTAGAAAATAAAATCCCAGCCATTTTCTGTCGTCCTTGCCTTGTGCTGTCGAAGGAGAAAAGGCAGTAACATCAGCATACCACCATCATGAACAATCCACCACACATCTATATTTCCTTCAGTAAAACGTTCTTGATTTGTTGGAAATAAGTCAATGTTTTTAGCCACCAACAGTGCCTGCTGAGCTGCTGTTGTTTCTCGTACAGTATCTGCAAGGGAAAACAAGATATTCGATCGAGAACTTCTAATTTTCATTCATGGCTTTTGTTTTGAACTCAAGAGCTTAAATAATCCCAGATTCTGTTGAGGAACATCAGAGGAACATCCTGGATTTAGTGACTAACCTGCTTAGGAGAAGGAGAGAAGTCATGAAGAGACTGAGGGCTGAGAAAACCCACTCCAAGTGAAATCAAATGTGCGGAAATATTCAATTGTCCACTGGATGTTCAGCGCCACATTTCCTCCACACAGCACATTAATTACATAGTTGTATTCCATTAATTACATTGTTGAGCCACAAGGCTGGTGAGGCGTATAGAGAACAAGTCTTACGAGGAGCGACTGAGGTGGCTGCGGCTGTTTAGTCTGCAGGAGGATGAGGGGAGAGTCTGGAGCAGAGGAGGCTGAGGGGGGACCTTATTGCTCTCTACAACTACCTGAAAGGAAAGTGTAGTGAGGCAGGTGTTGGTCTCTTCTCCAGGTAACTAGCAAAAGGTTGAGAGTCAATGGCCTCAAGCTGCATCAGGGTAGGTTTAGATTAGATATTAGGAGAAAATTCTTTACTGAAAGAGTGGTCAGACATTGGAATAAGCTGCCCAGGGAAGTGGTGGAGTCACCATCCCTGGAGGTGTTCAAAAAACGTGTGGATGTGGCACTTTTGGGATAAGGTTTAGTAGGCATGGTGGTATTGGGTTGACAGCTGGACTTGATGATCTTAGAGGTCTTTTCCAACTTCTAATTCTATGATTACAAATGCATAGCAGAAAGTCAAGTAAACACATACCAACAAAATTTTTCCATGAGAAATTATTTTCTGTCTGTTTCCATGACTGCGGCCATGCCATCAGCACTGTGTTGTGCTTCATCCCTCCTAGACCAGCTGACTGAATCAAATAGGATATTCCATCTCTGAAATTAGGAGACACCACCATCTGGCAAAATCCTTTAGTCTTTTCTACTCCCATTAAGGCCTTAACGTTCTGCAAAAGGAAAATTGCATGTAGGCAAACACAGTCAGCAACCTTGGTAAACACCATAAGGACTAACAGCACTAAAGAGCAGCAACACATTAGCTACAGTGTGCAACGCACATCAAGAAACTGCTAACCCCAAAACAGTGAATACGATTTTATGACAACAAAAACTCATAACATCCATCTCCCCAAAAGACACCACGCAGGCTTTTCATTACTTTAACTATTCAGCCTTTTCATTCCAAATAAAAATGAACAAGATATGAGTAAAACCACTTTGACAAACACAAATAAAGTGACACTGCTTCAGGTAAAGTCAAAACTGTGGACTGGCAAAGCACGTATGTTTGGAATGACAAGTCCTTTCTTTTGGAATTGGAAGGGGTTGGAAAAACGTGGTGCCAAGAACTTTAGACAAAGAGTCTGCCAAAGCTCCCTAACCAGCTTTGACATTAAGAGGCTGATTCTTTATTTATTGGCTCCCGACACAGAAAAATAGATGCACAGAAGACAAAGTGTGATCACTGGCTGAATAACGACAAGATAAACCGACTAGATTAAGTGTCCCCCACCCCTTTAATTCCAACATGGCTCCCCTTCATTTGAACACTGATAAACATACAGACACTTCACCAAGTAATTTAAAAGTAGTATTCAAAATGGTATCAAGGTTGACTAGGGAACATCAGCTTTGGCATTTGCTATGTTTTGATTGCATGACTGAAAAGACCCAACATCACCAATGACTTGTGGGGGAGATCAGCGCGGTTTCAGAAGGAAGAACCAGCACATCAAAATTTGGACTTTTGGAAGCGCAAAAATTCCTATAAAACACCATCAGGAACAGATTTGATCACAGAATGCCTGGCACTGGCTCTGTGTGGCTTCACATCAGAAATTGTGTTTAGTAGAGAAAAAAAAGTCTTCAGAGAGCTCGGCAGCAAAGCCAACACGTCTGTCTGTGCAAACAATACCCGCGGGGGCATATCAGTTTAAATAGATGCTTTTTTCTTTAAAAGAAAGACAGGAAAAATCTTGATTTCCTACACATCTTTGGAAACACTTTCTAGTTCAAATTTTCCAAAACCAATGACGGCCCCAGATGCTCAAACTGCTACAATTCATCTTCATTTCCATTTTAAAAGCAATAGCATCCTCGATCTTAACACCAGGTCTGACTGAGAACCCGTGGATTAGGTCCCGCTTAAATTAATTCCTGTTCCGGCTCTCAAAAATGTCATCGACTTCAAGTTAAGCCAACTATCGGTAATATTTCAAATCCTCAGTTTCTGTTTAAAGGTTTTCTTTGTTTTATTCCAGAGGCCTGATCCTATTCCTGGTCTTGTTTGCTACTCACACATGTTGATAAAAGCTTAGTAACAATTACTTTCACAATACAGCATCGCTAGGCTTTTTCCACCACGTTCTCAAGCTAATTGCTCTCTTGGAGCCTTTGCACACAGTATCACCTAGGCCATCTGGCTTCTTACTTTTGTCATTTTAAAACATGCTAGGGACAAGGCTGAATAAGAGGGAGAAAACAGACGGCTGGGAGAAAAACGGCAGCTAGCTTTGTTAAGTGCATTTCAACATCTCAAACGCTCCTCTGTTTTAGAGACATCAGGTCTGAATAAAATCACAGGCATTTTTACACAGCTTCGAAGACGACTTGGATCGAAACAGTAGACATTTCAACTGATACCCTTGTCAACAACACTGAAGATAACCACCATTTTTGGAAGATATAATGGCAACCAAAGCCTACTTTTAGAGTAGGCTTTACAGTAGTTTTCTAAAGGCAATAGATTTTCTTCAACAATATTCAATAAAATGAACATGAAACATGGTATTTTCTAAAAATGTTTCCCCACTATAAAGTTAGGGGTAGAAGACTTTGCGTAAGTAAGCAAATGTAATAATCTATACCAGGTTACCCCAATACTGGATTAAACAAAGCAATACACAAGTTGTTTACGACTGAACAAAAAGGGGAAACTTGCTTTGCACTGAAAGTCCAAGTTGTATGAACAATGGATCTTCAGAAGCTCAGTCTATTAATGCCCTTTTTTCCTTCAGGTGACAATTTAAAATCAAGTTCAGGTATTTTCAAGGGCTTCCCACAAAAATGTCTATGTATTTCCAACTGGGTAGCACATTCAAATACTGACAAGTTCTCAGGAGGGGAAAAAAAAAAAAGAAAAAAAACACAAACACCAACAGAGAGAGAGAAACACTCAAATTAAATTCACTTCTGCTTGTAAGCACAGTTAGATGTAATGTTAAGCTATCTGACAACCTACTATTTTTTCCCATCTCACACCACCTTCTCTGAAGATGTGGGATAAATAGGAAAGAAAAAAAAAAGAAAGTAAAGGATCTCAAGAAGGATTCCATTTACAGTTAAGCAAGAGTAGGATCTCAGCACAGACTGCTCCTAATCCTGGCTCTGCTATGTATTTCTAGGACAATGTAGAAAGTATCATGTATAAATCCAGATGATGAGATTATGTCAAACACATCTGCATCTGTTAGATAAATGTTAAATCTGTTTTCTTTATAAGGTAATTTCTTAAAAGTCTATCACTTCTTTTTTTCAAGAATGTAATTTGATTAGGAGTCCAGGGCTCTTAATATCAAAGAAAATAAAAATCTAAGAAGTATCAGCACTGTCTCATCCTATTTGGAAATTTTACAAAATATTTTGCTACACACAACAACCTATTCTTCATATATAATCATTGATTAGGCTGACAGTAAAAATCGATGTTTTATTCAATACGTTACAACTTTCTATTCTAATTCAAGATACGAGTTATCCAGGTTCAACATTCAAATTCTCATGGAAGTTACAAGTGTTGGTAAGCTGTCTTTGACACACCTCTTCAGCTTTCTGAGTTTCTGTACATTTATCCAAGTAAAGTCCCTGAAGCACTGAGCCCACGATAGTCAGTCCTTTACCAGCCTTCAATTGAGAGGTGAAAGAAAGCAGTCTAGGATGTTTCACCAACTGCTCAGCATCCAGGTTTAACAAGACCAAAAGCTGAGGTCTGCCAAAAAAAAAAGTTAAACATATATATATAGGAAAGCAAGAGAGAAATGAAAAATTAAAATTAATCACTAATAAAATGCAGATTAAGTGCTTAATTCAATGGAACACATTCAACTATCAAGCAAGGAGGTCATATAATTGGCAACAGCAACAACACTTCAGGTACAGAGTACCTACATGAGCCACCATACCATCATTCTGAAAAGCTACCCTAAGGGACAGGTTTACCAAGAAAATTATTGACTCAAAATTATGACCCTTCCAAGGTCATCTAGTGCAACCTACTGCTTGAAGTGGTTAAACACTGAATGCACACCCAATTATTTACAGCTCCATCCAGCTGGATTTTGAAAACCTCCAGAAACAGATATTATCACTTCTGGGTAACATCTTCAACATTTAATTACCACCATTGGGGCGGGTGTGGTTGTTTTTTTCTTTTCTCTTTCTCCATTTTATCATGTTCTCTCATTCTCCTACCATATACTGCTGTAAGGAGTCTGACTGGGCATTGCACTTGTCCTTCTGCATTTTCGTGATCATCTTCTCGACCCATTTCTCTACCTGTGGAGGTCCTTCCAAAAGGACAGTCACACCCTTAACCACACTGGTAGCACCCCGAGTTCAGTTTCAACTGCATACTTCATGAGGACGCATTTTGTTTCCTTTCACCAACATCCAATCTGCTTACTTTTCCCAAACCAACATTTTATAATTTTCCTGTCATTACTGCAAGTTCGGAAGAACGACGAAGAGTTGGAGCGTACTTCCTGCCTCAAAACCAGCACTGTTTCGAGAAGTAACTGGAAGGTCCCATTCTACCAATTACATTGACACAATAGAAGGATAACTTATCTGGAACTGACGTCAGACATTTAACACGAATGCTCTTAGCCAACACTACATTACACTGGTGCCTCTGAGGTGCCAAATTCAGACACAGGTAAAGGCAGTGGCTCATGTATTCCATAGTAACTGCTCACGTGCATCAGACCCAGGACAAGTGGTAAAATAACACCACTACACTGAAGTGCAAGAGAACATTGCATGTGCATGCACCCAGGGATACCATCACAGCACAGCGACTGTATTTAAAATATCACATTTAGTGACTATTTCTTTTTTTATGTGTTCCACTGACAAGACTTCTTCCAATTTGCACAACATTCATCAGAAGGGACAAAAATGTGCAAACGTCCTTCTGTTTTTAAATGCCAAGTAATTTTTTTGTGTTGGCTTTGAGAAAACTGACAGTTTAACAAGGAAGAAGAATATATTGAAAAAATAGTAGTGGACATCTAAGCCCCTGACGTACAAAAGGACAGCAACCGCAAGATTTTGTTCTAATGAAGTCCAAGCAATTTAGAACGTGTTCCTATTAAATTAAGGTATATAAAGAAAGATTGCCACACAAAATGAATTTAGACAAATAATGGATCCCCTGTACGGTTTTACAATGTATTTCAGAGGGAACTTACATTGAAGTCCAAATCGCGCCCCCCCAACCAAACAAACCAACCCCACCCCACTGATGGAACTGCAGCATTTCTTCTAGAGAGACAGTGGGCCTCTAACTGTTCCTTCGAATCTGAAAATCTACAAATAACCACTTTAACTCAAACTTAAATCCATGTGGTGTTGACATAGTTTTCCAGTTTGCCCATATTCCCGGCAAAGTTGATTACATGCTGGCCATACGTTGCACTCTACTGCGGTAAAGTAATACTACTGCAACGACATCATTACCATGCCCAAGTTAAAACATTCCTTGAACAGTGAATTCCACTTTGGCCATTAGCTTTACCCGTAGTATTCCCAACAGATTTACATATGCCAAGAACTGTGCAACTTTGGAAGGCGTAGGACTTACCTCCAGTTCTTGGTGTGAGGAGGACCATCTTCAACACGAAGTAAAGCATAGCGAGCTGCGTTCAGAGACAGTCCTCGGATTCCATCACCCCATTCTTTTTCCGCTCTTCAGGGTGCAGAAGAGATTCAATTAACAGCGTCCCATTTATTTATGAAAATTAAGTACATTTTCTCACATGAGGGATAATGGGCATCAAAAATGAACGCACTTTTTTGCATGAATGCATGAAAACAACTCATCTTGCAGATTTAAATCAAGAATGAAGACTAACCAAGACGAAGCAGTCTCAGGTTCCCTCAAGAGATCTATTTATTAAGGATTTACTCCTATTTACTATGGTCTATTTTATTTATACTTCAGAAGCTTTTTTGCAATCACGAGAGCTACTCAAGTTGCTTTTAAGCACTAGAACAAGTAAGGGCTACTTAAAAGGAATTGTTTTAAAGCAGTAGAATGAATAGGGGAAATGACTTTCTATTGATTAGTGTGTTGTATCTTCTGTTTTCTAGTTGGGGGGTTTTTGGTTGGGCTTCTTTGTTTTTGGGGCTTGTTTGTTTGATGAACTCAGCATGCTCTTTAAGTCTCCTACTCGCGCAGCATTTCTTACAGGAGTGGCTCTGTACGTGTCCCTTGTCAAATGCATACAGTGCAAACTATGTTGCAATTTAAAGACCATCTATGCCTTCAGAAAACAGACAGTTTTCAGTGGGTGCTCTGGATCGTTCAGTACGATTCTTTTGTGCTAGAGTCCACACAAAAGGGTAGAAGTTTTGCGCTTCAGCACAAGTTAATAATAAGGTAACAGTTTTGTAATAGTTGCCCCTCGATATTAAAAGCTGATGTTCCTGAAAAACTTTACACCACATTCTCTGCTCAAATGAAAGTTTCCCAGCCTTACTGGTTCCTATTTTGATTAGTTCTGGCTTCAAGAGGTTTGAAACAGAGCTTCCAGGAAAATTAGAACCTGAAAACTTACAACCCTTAACAGAGACGGGATCTTACCTTGCTTCAAGGGATACTCTTAATTCTGTTCCTTCAGCTCTATCTATTTTATACGAAAATGCTTTTTGCTGAATGTTAAAGATATTAAAGATAGAATAAATAAGATATATGGTCTTACCCTCTATATTCTATGTATTTGTATATACATCCTGCGATTAGCATGGCAATCAAAGCATAGTACCAAGAGCAAATGAACATCAAGGCAAGACATAAACTCATCCCCAGGAATGAGAGAGTCCTAAAAGAAACCATTTTTTTTCCATTTTTTTAAACAGGCATGCAAATGTTCTACAAAGTCTATTTCTTATTTAAGCTAACTTCCAGCAAGGCCTTTCTTCTTCAAAGCCCGTTTCACAGCTACTATAACAAATAAAGATACATTCTCCCAATTTTAGTTTATAAGAAAAAAAATTACATTCTGAAACTTTGTGTGACATAAATAATACAATGAACTAGATATAACAATAGATTTACTACATTTGTCAGTTCAGAAACTCTCCAGCTAACGTCAGTTTCAAAACACATTGCTATCACTCACTGTTAAACTGAAATCAAGCTAAAAAAAAGAATATAAACTTCTCAAACAACATTATGTTACTTCCAGCAAAAACATTAAATTTATAATTAATGAGTCAAATTCTTCTGCACTTCCGTTTTCTCTCAGGCAAGAACACAGGACAGTAGAAAAGAATACGCAAAACCACCTGTCAAAGGCTATACAGAAAGAATGACTGTGAGCTGAAAAAGTTACAGAAGCATTTCTAGATTAAAGTTTATATGACTGGGTTTGCCCACGCTATTGTTCAAGATAGATGTAAGTCAGCTCAGACCAGGACAGCTGTGTGAATACTTCTAGTCACATACGACGCCCCAGAGGTCTTGTCACCCGATTTCCAGATTGGAGCTCACTTTCACTGTATTGACTACGAGTGTCGCCAGACCCACCTTCCTGTCTGGCACCTTCAGACTGCTCTTTGGACTCAACACTTGTATGGTCCTAAACACACACAGTTTTAAACCAAAAAAATGGTTTCCACCTGTTCTGAGGACACCCATCTAAATGTAGCTTGTCTAAAAAAACAACAGCTGCTCTTTTGTGCTTGATTTAGCAAACCTACGAGACTACTTTCACTCAGAAAAATACAGTCCCATCCCAATCCTGGTCAAGCATTCCAACACCTGCTTTGGCTAGCAGCCATTACATAGTCACCCAGTGAGTCAGTTGGCTCATTGATCTCTCTGGGAAAAATATAAAAAAAGAATTCTTGCCAAATGGTTACAAACTCTGGTGCTGCCATGCCACAACCCTTTGCTTTTCTTTCCTCACCATGGTCCATCCTGTACCTCTTGCTAACCCCCATCTTCTCCACCCACCTTAGCTTTTAAGGTACTTTGGACCTCCTGCTATACTTCTTCCACAATCAGATTATTCAGGGGAGGTGGAGCAAAACCAAAAACAAACACACACACCGCAAAAAAAAAAACCCAAACACACCACAGTCCCAAGAAGACAGCAACCCCCCCACTTTCCTTCTTTGACATTACAAACACTACTAGGTGTTTGCAGTGAACGACTGGGAGACAGGTACTCGTGTGTTTGTAGGTTTAGGTGCCAAACCACTAAGTGGCTATATTCAAAAAAGACGTTTCAGGGCTAAACCCGTCACATTTCATTTTCACTCCATTCTTCAACAGGAAAAATAATAAGCAACTCCTACACCCTAGAATGAGGCCAGCTTATCTCTCCTAAAGGCTCTAGTCTTCAAGGCATTTCAGCACTAAAACTTCTCAACACAATTACTGTTAGTTAAATACATACGTGTATGTATTTAACATTCAGTTAAAAAAAAAGCTTCCCAATCTTAACTTGAAATGTTTGATGCTCTTATTCCACTTACAAAGAAGAACACTAAAGAGAAAAAAGAAACACACCCTCACCTTTTGTATAATTGACCTTTACTGAGTTCGTCAAGTACCTGCTTTTCTACTTCACTTATCAAATGCAATGTCCATAGCGAGACACATTTTAAAGACAGTAATCATATTATTTAAGATCCAACTGATATACATTAAATGAGATCTTTTTTTTCTTAACAAGTTTTGGTTTTGCGTATTTTTTTGCATAACTAAAATTAAAATCATATCAGCCTTCCTGAATATCATTGCCAGCTCTCCTTATCTATGTATAAAAGACAGATTACATTTTTTTAATCTTCATTCTCACATATTCAGGAGATCTCTTTTATTGGTTATAAAAGCAGTACTAAATGTCATCCTGTAGCCCCGTCCCAAATCCTCTACATTAGCAACATGTTCTTGTGATCACACCTCTTACTAGCCCTGTGCCAAACACATGAATACAAATGTTGCTGTTAGAGTACCCAGTGCATGAACTGTCTTATAACTCGTTTATGTCAGAAAGGAGATTTTGTTTTATTATTGGAAGAAAATCAACAATTTAGGGCTGTGTGATCAGTTTTAACTCTTCTGAATTAAGGAATATTCCCTACCAATGGTAATACTTGAAACGAGGTCTCCAGTTGGGGGTCCGTAAAAGTGTCTGAACTGCACAAGCCAGATTTACAAACATATAGCACATAAGGAAAAACCTGTTAAGAAAAAAAGAATACCATTTTCCAGCAGGAAATTAACTAGACAGATTTGCATTAAAAGGTTGAACACAATCCAAAAAAAGGTAGGAACTTCTACACTGTGTTCATAGTGGCTAACAGAACAAGATGTAGATTATTACTTGTAGAATATCAGACCTCAAAACATGATATTAGTGTAATATAAAGCCTCAAACAAAGATTTCAGAGACAAGGTAGCAAACAACTGACAATCACGGGGCATGCTGGAACTGAGTTAGTTTTCTTCATTGTAGCTCATACATTGCTATGTTCTGGATCTGTAACCAAATCAGTGTTGATAACACAGGGATATTTTAGATGTTGCTGAAGAGTGCTTACACAGCATGAAGGTCTTCTCTGTTTTTCTTGCTGTCCCGCCAACAAATAGTCTTGGGGAGGGGACACAGCTGGCACAACTGACCACACTGACCAAAGGCATATTCAAGACTGTATGACACCATGCTCAGCAGTAAGAGCTCAGGTGAAGGAGGAAGAAGGGGGGATATGTGGACTTAATGGTATTTGTTTTCGCAAGTAACAGCTACACACTGTGAAGCCATGCTTTGCTGGAAATAGCCAAACATCTGCCTACTGACCGTGAATGAATTCCTTATTTTGCTTTGCTTGTGTGCAGAGCTTCTGCCTCACCTATTAAACTGTCTTCATTTCACCCCACGAGTTCTCACTTTTACCCTTCTGATCCTCTCTCCCATTGCAGTGGGAAGGAAGCAAGCAAGTAGATGTATAGGGCTGAACTGCCTACTGAGGTCAATCCCTAACACATGGGGATAAACTTCCAAGACAAAGTCAGTAAAAAAAAAAGTTCAGTTAATATCCTAAAACACTGAATTGTGTTGTCTATTATATGCACTTGAAGTAAAATAGCAGGAATTTTTATTTTAAAATACAGGGGTTTAAAAGTTGAACATATTTTTACTATTATTCAAAAACTCTGTCATGGAAAAAGTTGTGCTTAGAATTTAGTTCTAGCCAAAACATTTTGTTGTTTCATATTCTCTCCAGGATCAAATAGGAATATAACTTGTTAGAAGACAAAAGTCTAGCATGCACTATTTCAAGTAAAGTCATTACCTACTAATTTAAAAATAAAATACTGTTGAACTTAAGAACACGAAACACCACATTCACACTTACATGGAAAGAATTGGTGCTACGCTGTCCAATGAGGCTATCAAAATTCCTATTTCACAAATACCAGCAGTGAGTAGCAGAGCCCAAGTTGGTTCTCCATTTGCTTTTCCATGACCAAATACCTAGTTCAATTCAAATAAACAGTAATATTAGCAAAAGCTGATCATTATAGAGTTATGAAATGTTGTAGATTTCAAACTAACTTCAACTGAAACCAAAAATAGTGATTAGCTACAGTGGAAAATGAAACAATCTATACTACAAAAAGCCACAGACAAAATTGCAAAAACACACATTTCCAATATGAAAAACATTTACTATAATAAGCAATGACTACATAACATTAAATTACTATTGCAGTTGCTGTTGAAGTAATCTTAAGCAATTTAAAATCCACATGCATCAGAGATTTATGCTTCGTCTATAAAATGCTAATTTATTTGAGGGGAGTACTTTTTGTAACACACAAAAATGGGCATCAACTCAATACTTATGATGTAAGTATTGATCTTTAAAGGGGAATTAGGTAAGCCTATGATCCTGCACAGAGCCCTACCAAAAACCATTCTGCATTTGGTAATTTCCTTTGGGAAGTATTCTACCCAGCTCCACTGGGGATAGATGGCAATATGCCTCACCTGAAGTTCCAGCCATACTTATTCTCCTCCACACAATTATAAAAACTAAATCCTCACTCCCATTTTCCATAACTGCTTCCGATCCAAATGTATAGATTCTTCACCTCTCATTCTCCATACTGTCTTCTTCCCTTAGCTTCCTGTCACCTATTCTGCGCTACTGGCAGAATATTCAGGCAGCAGAACAGCTGCAGAAGCAGTAGCTGCTGTCTTTTTAGCTAGTTTAATTCCCAATTCATTAACCATTCTGGTTTCTGCTCCCAGCAGCAATCGTAGCTTACACTTACAGTGACCATCTGCCCCTCCAGCCCAAAAGAAGAGAAGAACCCAAGGGAAAATATCAAGGATACAGCCCTACTGAGACTAGGCGCTAGAAGACACACCAGGGAAGCAGGCGCAGTGGGATGGAACCAAGTGATTATAGACTGCCAACAGCAGTATCACCTGTGCCTTAAAAAAAACAAACACACCAAACACCAGCAAAGAACCCCACAACACACAAAAGACAACCCACTCACCCAAAGCCATTTGGCTTTGCTTCTCAGCTTTTCCAGCTATCTCCTCTAACCCATTCCCTGTGCACTCCTTCCCCCTCTTCAGCAAGTCCCTTCCTCTCTTATTGTCCCACTCCCACATAAACTGCACATCTCCCTCCTCCTTAGACATTTCCACCCAGCCTCACTCAAATTCTCCAGCTACCTCACCATTCGTAATAGTCTTAGGCACACCCTAGTTGAGGAGTTTTCTCCTCAAGCCACACATCAATGTGTAATTCACTGTAGGCTTTCCCCAAACTCAGGAACTAAACCAAGATGCTGCTCTCCTATACATAGTCCTCACTGAAGATACTATTATAGAGATCTCTGAATAGAGTCTTATGGTATTTATCAAATATAATAGCCCATTTTTAATATAAGCTGATACTGTACCGACCTCAGATGTGAGACAGTGACCTAGAGCAAACATCTGATCAACACTCCTGAGGTAAGTGAGGGTAAAGGAGGGAATACTCAAACATGTGTTTGGTCACATAACTTAGGGATCAAAATAATGATATAAACCTCCCCAAAAGATACATAAAAACAAACAAGTGCTCCAAATCATCCTTAGGACTCACCCCATACAGAACATTCTATTCTCCTAAATTCAGCCCCAGCTACCTTCAGTGTCTGTGCTACCTGCAATCACAGAATCACAGAATGGCCAGGGTTGGAAAGGACCTCTGTGGGTCATCTAGTCCAACACCCCTGCCGAAGCAGGGTCACCCAGAGCAGGCTGCACAGGACCGCGTCCAGGCAGGTCTTGAATATCTCCAGAGAAGGAGACTCCACAACCTCCCTGGGCAGCCTGTTCCAGTGTTCCGTCACCCTCAGAGAGAAGAAGTTCTTCCTCATGTTCAGTTGGAACTTCCTCTGCTTCAGTCTGTGCCCATTGCCCCTTGTCCTGTCGCTGGGCACCACTGAGAAAAGTCTGGCCCCGTCCTCTTGACATCCACCCTTGAGATATTTATAAACATTTCTAAGGTCCCCTCTCAGCGTTTTCTTCAGGCTGAACAAGCCCAGCTCCCTCAGCCTTCCCTTGTAGGAGAGATGCTCCAGTCCCCTCATCATCCTCATAGCCCTTCTTTGGACTCTCTCCAGTAGCTCCTCATCTTTCTTGAACTGGGGAGCCCAGAACTGGACTCAGTACTCCAGATGAGGCCTCACTAGGGCCAGTGTAGAGGAGAAGGAGAACCTCCCTTGACCTGCTGGCAACACTCCTCCTAATGCATCCCAGAATTTCTCTGTGTGCTACAATTAACTGTCCCCTAACTCTGTTCCCAAAATATTCATAGTTACTCAGACATAATCCTGGTTTTTTTTATACTTGAACCTGTTCTTGGTAGGTTATCGTTGTGCTGTGTAACGGTTGGCAATTCTTGGCAAACTGAGGTAAGCTTTCAAACTCCAAACTTCACCATAGAATTCACAGCTTTGCTCTCTAGACGTTATAATCTTTAGGATTGTTTGTTTATTTATTTTTAACTCAAGTTTAGTTGTCTAGTTTTTGCAGAAGCAGCCAAACAACTGTGTCAAATGTCTTCCAGCTAGAGTTCTCTTATTGTCTTCCGTTTGCCAGCTCCCTTATTCACTTCCTTTGAAAAAAAATCTGATTTACTTCAAAGACATGAACAGGGGTGTCAGAACATTCTTAATGTTCAGAGTCATGGGATAGAAATCGATTGCTACATCTTTATTGACTTCATTTAGCTTACAAAAATAAGTAAAAAATAGAACTGTATCTCTGACACGAGAATTATCAGGCAGTTCCATAGTGAGATTAACTTAACTCTGTTCATAAATACAAGCTGTAAACGCAGCCTGGAATCAAGAAGCACAGTTGTTTGTTGCTTCTTAGTTCATTTATTTCCATTCGTAGAACACTTGTATTCTCAGTTTTGAACTGAGCAAGTACAAAAATAATTAAATTGCACTGCACAGAAATATCCAAGTTCAAACTTTGTCCTTTGTCCTACAATAGCTTAATCCATCTTTGTGTACAATTAGAACTGAGCTCCAAATCTTTTCCCCATAGTTCTACATAAATAGCAGCAATAATGCCTAATTTTTTGTCAAAATATAAGTGATATTTTAAGTACTATAAAGAAAAAAAAAAATCTCACTTGAATAAACGGTACAATGCCATCTCTTGCAATGGCCTGCAACAGGCGGGGTGCACCAGTGAGACTCTGGAGACCAGCACCACATGTTGAAAAGAATGAACCAATCACAATAACCCATGGAGAAGGCCAGGCCAGTGTACCAACCACTAAATTTCCATTAACTGCTTCTCCAAACCTTAGGGGAAGGGGAGAAAGAAAAAAAAGAAAATCAGTAAGCATTAAAATAACTTTTAGTAGAGCTTCAATACCCACGTTTCAGTCTTTTTGGACAACCGCATTTTTCAACAATAAACACCATGTCACAGTATGCACTATACAATTTCCCAACCAATCAACTTCTCTTTATTCTGCTGCTTTAAGAATACCTTATAAAAGATTCATTGTAATTGCTGCCTCTAAGCAGACATACAGCAATTATCAGGTATCTTGGCAAACTTTACAGAACTAATAGCAATAACAAAAGTATTTACATATGCATCCTTTGGATCCTTATGACTGCTAGGAACTGGGTTGCGGAAGTCTGTTCTACAAGTAATACAGGTACACCCTGGGACATAAACATGAGATTCTCAAATCAAAGTATTAGCCTTTCCTTTTAATAGTATGACACTGACATACGGACAAATAAATAAACTACTAGACACAATCACCTCAAGTTGTCCACATGCCTTCTGACTGTAGTGCTATCTGATGCAGCTTTTAAATGATTATGGTAAACAAGCGGGTGGAAGTCAGAAAGAAGGGCTTTCATTACAGTCTTGAGTGTCCCGTCCAATGCTACTGACCTACTATTTTTTAGATAATTAACTTCAAGTTCATTTATGGACATCTTGGATAAGCTACAAAAAGGTTCTCCCCCTCAGGCAATTACATGGGTGAAAACTGACATGACTCCTAATCTACAACTGGTATTTCAAAAAAGAAAAAAAAATAGTCATACATCCAGTGGAAACTACAGACCTGATGGTGCATTGCAGTCTGTCCCACGAACTCTCATGAAACTGTCCAACAACTTTTTTGGTCTTTGCTCCTCAGGAGCATATTACTTCTCCACAAGTAATACCACCCCCCTTTACTCTCCCCATCATCTCCACAAACACCAACTATGATTATCTTTCTCAAATCCTTGCATATGCCCAAGCTTGGATGCATGGCTACATACTATTTTCAGTAGATGGAAAAAGGGGAAACCACACCCTTTAAAAATATAGGGGGGAAAGAAACCCCCATATTATGCTTCTATGATGACATTTATACAGGTGCACATTCATTCTTAATTCAAATACTAATGCCTGTGTTTTAATTAAACACAGGGCAGGAACAACTTGAGAAGATGTACAATCTACTTTTTTCCACAGCAGATATGATAACCCATAACAAAAAAACAACCCACCCCAAAATCAGTCTTTAAATCAGACCAAGATCCATACATTTAGCTGTTTTGATGGATTTCAGCCAAAGAACTGGCAGCAGTGTAAATGAAAGAACATTGATTCAGTGCTCTTTTTACGTGTCCTGCTCTAGTGATAGACCACCTGCACTCACAGCTTCGAATATTCCCTCCCTCCAGTAAATTTCAAATATGTTACTTTCAAAAATGTGATAGATGTTGGCTCTGCATTAATTTATAATTCACAACTCATTTACTATTTCGTAAGCATCACTTTGATTTGGTTTGTGGATTTACTTTGAAGAAAAAGAAATCAGAGACTTTCACTGATGCCACAACACCATTTTAAAGTAAAAATGATCCTCTGCTGCTTCTTGTATTAACCTTGATTAGAATCCAGCTTCTAACTTATGGTTTTCCTTCTAGACGAAAAGATTTTGTTTTGAAAAAAGTTGCCTCAGCACAGCATCATCTCCATCGCCTTCCAAACAATACCTCAATGCCACTCCTTCATCACCAAAAGCAAACTTGGGTCTTAGTAGAAAAGAGAACCAGGCACCAGCAAGGAAACAAATGTGAAACCTGCCAACAGATTCATTTTACTCAACTGAACTTCTCCTAAGGCAGCAATTTATCTAAATCTGGAGATTCTGTTCATGCTTATCTCCATCACATTTATTCCCCTTAAGCTTCATATTGTGCCTCAAATATCCTCAGGCAATTACATGGGTGAAAACTGACATGACTCCTAATCTACAACTGGTATTTCAAAAAAGAAAAAAAAATAGTCATACATCCAGTGGAAACTACAGACCTGATGGTGCATTGCAGTCTGTCCCACGAACTCTCATGAAACTGTCCAACAAATCCTCAGGCAATTACATGGGTGAAAACTGACATGACTCCTAATCTACAACTGGTATTTCAAAAAAGAAAAAAAAATAGTCATACATCCAGTGGAAACTACAGACCTGATGGTGCATTGCAGTCTGTCCCACGAACTCTCATGAAACTGTCCAACAACTTTTTTGGTCTTTGCTCCTCAGGAGCATATTACTTCTCCACAAGTAATACCACCCCCCTTTACTCTCCCCATCATCTCCACAAACACCAACTATGATTATCTTTCTCAAGAACATTTTATTAGGGACATTTATCTTGGGTTCTGCTTCTACTTGTTGAAGGGATACAACATGATAATTCAACCAGTTTTTACAGACATTGCAGTTTACCAGACAGACTCTCCCCTCCAGTTTTCACCTAAGTGAAAGAAAAATATATCACACAGGTATTTCCCAGAAGAAACATTAGTAAGGCCTGTTAACATAACCCATGATCATACATACTCCATGTAAAATTAGAAGTTGAATACAACTTACTTATCTGGGGGGGGCGGGGGTTGGTTGTTTTTTTATTTCTTCCCTGCCACAACCTTTTAGTTTATGTTCTCTATGACTGTGTTTGATGCACAGTTGATTTGTGAAGTATTGAAAGTAGCCATTTCATACCTTATGCACCAGAGCAGATACTTTCTCATACAAATAAGCATTTGTGTCTTCTAAATATTGAAGGACTAACAATTTCTATTGCTAATAGTTTGCTTCAAGATTTTCACTGGTTATACTGAGTATAACAACAAAGCAATCTGCCAGGTGAAGCATGACGCTAAAAACCTTTACATCAATTATATCTTGGAATTTGAAGCACTATTAGAATATATATAAATATTAGAACATATATAAATACTTATATAGGCAAATACAATTTGGTTCTTTTCAAAAATATTTATAATGTTTTTATGTTAGACAGATATAAAACACTTCCTTTCAGTTTAGATTTCATTCATCTTATACTCTGGCAACTCTTGAGACTTTTCAATGAAAACACTATACTGTTATACCTACAGAATGCACACTGGGGAAAAGAGTATCACAGTATAAAGGATACAAATAAAAGATGTAGTTGAAATAGCCAAAATTGTTCCAGTAGGAATAGATTTCTGAGCATCCTTAAGATCTCCAGATCTGTTTGAACCTGCCATAATACCTTAAAGAGAGAGACCAAATTTGCATGTCACAAAACCAATTAATACTAACCCCATATAAACAACTAAAAGAATAGGAACATAGCACTTTAATCCCGATTTAATGCATCATTACTAAAGGAGCAGGCTACAGAAATGTATAATACTCCTGCACAAATCCTCAATTTATACCTTCATTTTGTTCAGAAATTTGTGTTAGCACCCCTTGTTAACTGAGCAAATGCCAGAAAGCCCCAGAAAGAGACAGAAAAAAAGAAAAAATTATTTTTCAAACTATAGAATTGTTTTTAATATGGGGAAATATACAGGAGCAGCAAAATGCTGGGGATGGATGTTACAAACTAATGAGGATTTATCCATTTTAGCCAGTGTGCCCAAATGCACTACCTTTCTATTAAACAGACCATACATAACACACACAAGCAAATCAATAAACTAAATACTAAAAATATAGAAACAAAAAAGAAAGGAGAAGGCAGGAAGTACCAGAAGAATTGTTAGGAAATCACATGTGTGCATGCCTATTTGAATTTAACAGAAGGACAAAAATATCTTCTAGCACATACTGTGACAGGAGGGAGAAATCATACAAGAACTGACTAATTTTGCCATCTCCCCTAGACTGCCCTGACTACTGTTGGGAGGTAAAACCATGGAAGCTAATGTCAAGACGTTCCAGTGCAAAAGCATTATCAAACTCCATGCAATGAAACCCTAATCACAGGCTCATATATGATGAGATGTTGATAAAAGCTATTGATCCTTTTTCCTGAATAGATACTCCACAGTTATCTACAAGGAGGCAAAAAAAAAAAATACTCAGTGTCATCTCTCGCAGGATATTAAGCAGTGAGAATGCAATAATCTCATGAATCAGATGGCTTTTCTTACACAAAAATCATGATGCTTCCCAACATCTCCTTATAAAGCCAAGAATGCAGCAGCAATACAGTCAATACCAACTGATGGACATTCCCACTGTACGCCTGTAGAAATGCAGTAGTGTATGGGATGCACCATACAAGATTCTCTCTTCCATTAAAGAAAGATTTAGTTACAGAATTAAATTCTAATGTATTTGTAGAATATCCATTTACATTGCACAGACGTATAGATGTATTATGAAAAAAATAAGGAAACTATTATCTCCAGGCACTCTTAGCATATATTCGTATTTCTTGCTCTTATATTTTGAGGAGTTAGTCAAAAAAGAAATGCTATTTAGCAGTAACTTGAGGTCTTTGAGACCTGCTGGACAGAACAACCTTGGACAACAGTTCAGGACTCAGCTGTTCACAGGGAAGGTATTCCACATGGTGACATAAGCTGAGTAGCCAGCCTCCAGACAAGAACTGATAAGCAAAAAAAAACATCAAAGCAAGCAAAAAAACAGCAGAACGTGGCTCAAATTCCCCAACAAACTAAAGATGGTTGTTCCATGAAGACTGACAGGTCAAAGAAATAGTAGCTTTTGAGAGCTAACATTTGTGGAAACACTGGTTGTTCCCCTTGACGAGATGCTGAGAACATCGAACACTGATTCTTATTTTAAAACGAGACAAGTTGTCTTACCTTGCATAAGCAAACAAGGTAAATACTCTCCCTCTCTGTCAAAGAGCCAAAGGATTTTACACCACAGAAATACACAATTCCCATGGATCGCCAGGATGATGGATCTGATAGCCAATTTTCAGCCATGCAGTACAGCTTAAGTGAATTAAGTACTGTATTCTAAGTCTTCACTATAACAAAAGGTTACCCTGAGCACAGTAGGAGACTGACTCTGAATCTCTATAAGTGGCCAAAGATAGGGTACTCCTATCCAGATTTGTAACCAAAATCTTACAATTGGTAAGCATATATGGAAGCATGCATTAGAACACAAGAGACAGCAGAACAAAGATTAAAAGGAAAGTAACTATTAATGGCCACAGAATGCTATGTGTGTTAGTTCATTCAAACAAACAGGAGTAAAACTGATCTAGAAGTTAGACTGAAGCTATAAAAAGAACAGTTAAGGAAACAAGAGAATTGTAAATTCCAGGAATTTTAGATGAGGTTTGAGGAGCAATATAAAACAAGACAAGATCTCCAAATTAGCATCCACTCCCTATGGAGCATAAAAAGAAAGTTCAAAACCCAGTTTGTCTTTGTCAATCAGAAGCACTAAATACTTAATGAGGACTCAACAGCCTGTGTCCTTAATTCAGTATGACACAGAAGGGACAATGCCCTGATCACTCCAATGCATACAACTCTAATTGTGGAAGTGTGCATGCCAGCACGAGTGGGTAAAATCAGCTTAGAGATTCTGTAAAATAGAAATCACTTCCTCCTTTCATAAGGTATCGCACATAGCTTTGTTACACTAATTTCCTATGCTTCTTTTCCCAAAAGTGACAGTCTAAGTGAACTTGAAAGTTAGGGTAAGGAAAGCGGGTCTTTTCAGAAGAGTCCAGACATTTGTGGGAAGGTAGGTTTCCCTTCTAGGACCATTCACAGCTTGCTGAGACTCCTCTAGCAATATTTAGGGACACATAAACCAAATCTGGCACAAGGTATCTAACCCAACAACATGTTACCATGAAGCAACACAAAGCCGACGAAAGCTATTTCCAGAATTATTTCATTATTGTTAGGGCCCATTCATGTGCCTGTTTGGTCAGGTTTTTACAGAATGATTTATTATTGTTAGGACAACATTCATGAAAGGTGTGTATCAGATGCATACGTACAGTACACAAGTGCCCAGTAAATGGTGGGAGGACTCAGCACACACTTCCTGAGACACCCAGGCATGATATCTGAGTATTCCCAGCCACAGCTTGAGAAACTTACACATGTGGAGTCTGCAGTTGCAGAGTCTTCACACAAAGCAGACCATATGCCATCAGTGGAGGAAAATCCTCCTTGAGAAATCTTCACTGGTCAAGTTCAAGCTTACACTAGGTATCAGAACATGTGCTCACACTCAGCAAGCGGGACAGGTGACCCGTTTTAATTTAGTCTTATCATTATGTGACATGAGGATAGGTAAATGCACTTTTATGCAGTAGTGCTATTTAAAAGAAATGTTAATCAGTGAACACAACCAGAGCACATTTTTCCAAAGGCAGAAGAATCAGTACTCAGCCTGAAGCCTCCAAGAATACAAAAGACCCCAAGTGCTAAGTATCTGAAATCATTTCGCTACTCAGGGACTGAAACACCACAAACATATGGCCAACTTTTTAAGAGTTTCAGAGAGGTCAAGAAACTAAAAGTCTCACAAGAAGCACCTGCCCATGAACAGCTGGTAGCAACAATGGCAATAGATAGATGCTGTAAACACACAGGTGTTGAGTTCTGACAAACCCAGCATCTATTCACAGGTTTTTTTTTCTTGAGTTTTGAGGAACTGGGGAAGTCTCAGTGTACCTTTTGTAAAAGAAAGTTGTCAGAAGTATTCAAGTAGTGCTAGTTCAAAGAAATGTTAATTAGTGAATAGAATCAAAGCACATCCTTCCAAAAGAAGAAAAGTTAGTACTCAGCCCGAAGCCTCCGAAAGCAAAACAGCCGTTTAAAGCTTACGCTGTAGCAAAAAAATTAGAACATACAGCTGCCTTCTGAGCTGGGGCAGAAAATGTAAAAGTGTTCAGGAAAAACTGCAGATATACATGCAGTAAATCATAAAATGCACACAACAAACCTTAAGTCACATTTCCTGTAGCAAACACTTCAATCAAAAAGATTTTCCTTTTTCATTGAGGAAACAGTGATTTTTTTTTTTTTAAACATACAAATTTAGATTCAGAGAAACCTATGCTTCATTTAGTACCTTTTTACGCATTTGTACACTTTATGGTTGTTATTTTAAATTGAATTATTATGGCAGTAGTGATTGCCTAGTGTCCCTATGCAGAGTTGCATATTTATACCAATCAAACCTTATTTTAAGGGTAAGCAGGAGTGAGGTTTCACAACATCCATTTCATCCCCAGAAACATTCTTTGTTTGCATACAATACAATGCATTACATATTGAAAATGAACTTTATGACCCAATGCAATTGGAATCCCAACCTGCCACAACTGTACAGAGATGTAAACAGAGGAAAAGCTATACGCTTTCTAGAACATCTGTCCAAATGCTAGACTGGAAGCTAGAAAGACTGTTTTTCTCCAAATCCATCACTAACTTGCTGGATCGTATTGGAAAAGCCACAACGCTTCACTCCTCAATGCACCACCTGTAAACTGGAAACAAGTTCTCCCTCTGGAGAGTTTGAGAATGCATTAATGAACAGCTTATTGAAATAAGTGTACTTGACACGCAAAAGAGCTACACACTTTAAAAAAATAGCTGCAATAAACACTTCCCTACTTTTTTTTTTTTTTAATAGAACAATGGCTTTTAAAAGAGTCGCCGTAAAACTCCGACGACTCCCAGATTAAAGCATTTAATACTAAGCTTCTAAAAGCAGATGGAAACTTTATAGGAGGAAGCATGCTCCAGGTGGCAATCTTCCACACAAATAAATTAGAGTGACACAAAGTAGCAACAGGTTAGACCACCACATCACTGAACAGCTACAGGCCAAATTAATAACGTCCAAAAATTTTTAAATCACTGTGCTTTCTAACTTACCAGTTAGAACTCCACTCATTATTCCTGGAATCCCTTGAACTTCTGTTACGTTATTGAGAATAAAGTATTCATCACATGTAGCATTAAGCGACGAACTATCACAGAATAGGCGCCACAAATTTGTAGTCTTTGTTCCATTATTGCTTTCAGTAAATTTGGCACAGACATCAAAGCTGCGTTTTGACAATGTGCGGTTTCCAAGGAGACAGATACTATAAACAAAAACAAACCAAGAAGAGTGATCCTTCAATATAGTGTTGGGCATTAAACTGTTGTTTCGTCCATTAGACGTCTTCAGGAACCCATTATATACAAGCACCTACCTTATGGCATACATTACAGTATGCAGTCTCTGCATACACAACTATCATCAATAATCTGTAAAACACCAATGAGACATTTCTACTTTAAGGTGCTAATAGCTATTTTGCCTTCTGCTTTATTCTTTGGAAAGTGTAATCAGCTCCAGCAGCTTGACCACTAAATAACAGAGATTATGATTCATTTAGTCCTAGAAGAAGTAAAATTAAGTAATACTTAATGTACCTAACATAATGATGAGCCTGACCAAGATTAAGCAAGTATATCATGCCCTTTTCAAACAAATAAATATTTTAGATGGCCCTCAACATTGTTAAAATCCAAAAGGTACGAAATAAACCAAGAGGATTAAACAGCAAAATTTAAAAACATTGATGGGGGTACAAATTAAAGAATCACATAGCAGAAAGCTACTAAAGCACTCAGAAATAGAAGAAAATTACAAAACTCAGAAGAGTTTGCAAAAAGCAAAATTCCTAACATCAAAGAACATTAAGGATCTAGGAACACTTTTGTGCTAAGCTATACAAAATATGTTCAGGATATATCTATTCCAGGCTTGCTTAATAATGGAATTATATATAACATCTATAAAGATGAAAGAAGGAACATCAAATAAAACATTCACGTTGGCAGGTAAATCAAAGAACATACAGTATGCATCTAATACTTCTGAAGGAGCTCAGTTAAGGGGCTGACAACAAACAGTAAAGGTATACCACTTGGCATTAAAACAAGTATACTAAGCCAAGCAGAATGCTGACCTAGTGCAATATGCTGTTTCCGACAGCAAGTAAGAGTAGATGCCTCGAGAAGAGTACAGGACACCAGTACAGTTTCAGGGTACATTATCACATGGAAGCTGACGAGATTTAACAGAAAGCTGCTGCTAAAAAGGCCATCTTGCCACTTGCCTTGCTCATTTTTCTTTTTAATTGCTACTGATTTGGTGACCCTATAGCAGCAGGGTGAGTTGATTCAACCCATGAAAACTGCTTTCCACTTTGATTCAACTAGGAGATCATGATGCACACTATTCTACCATGTATACAACAGACAAACCTAATGGAGGTTAGTGATGCCAATCTAATTAACCAGCTAAGTAGAAGCAGGACTTTTTGGCAACCAGCTCACTACCATATCAGCTTTACCATAATATAAAACCACATTTGCGTTTCTCGTTTTGAGGCATACTGGCCAAAATTGTGAACATCTATATTTACTGGAAGCTAACTTTTCTTTATATCCCACCCTCACCTCACCCCCAACAATAACGGGGTAGCAGACACAGATAAGGTCTCCAGGAACTTGGCAGTAAGTCTTCCCTATGCTACATATCCAGATAAACCCTCTTTTACCTATATAGGTGACAAAAAGATTGAAGTATTTCCTACCGGAAGTCACAGTTTCTTAGAAACTTTCTTCTGAAAAATGTCAATTTTGAACACACTTTTAACTTTTCTATAGAAGATTTGATATTATTTTACAGTAGAGTCCACAAACACTGCTTTAATGATCAATTTGTGACACAATCATCAACAATTCAAAGTGCTATGGAATCTGTAACAACCATACAGCAGAGGATAACTTCAGTCCTGCATAGCAGATGGCCCTTCATAGCAAGTTATCAGGCTATTCTGCTCTGTTAAGCAGTATCAATTCGTTTTCCTCTCCAAATAGAAACAGAAGCACAAAAACACAACTCACATACTGATAACTGGACAAAAGAAGTAATTCTCAATGAGCTGAGAGAGGTACAAGTCAAAGGCATTGAGAAGCAATATGTTGTGTGTGACAATAATAAAATTTGATTTTATTAACAAGAATGTAGAAAGCCTTCACAAACACAAGTGAATTTAACACTGCAATGTCTCCGTTTTTAAGTAGGAAGAAATGGAAGTTTCAAAAATTTCCTCATGACAAAGAAAGTTTGAAAGTATGTTTCTTGCATAACTATGGTTCATAGTTACAACGTTTTCTTGAAGTTTTTACCTTATTCTGTAGGATTTTAGTTTAATTCTTTAGATAAAACAGCTATATTTACTGTCAGCAAAATCCACTTTCCTGTTCTTTACGTGTGGATGGAATAATGGCCAGCCACTTTAAGTACCAAAGCACATTTTCCAGAGTATCATGTCTCATGAACAATGAGACAAAGATTGGTAACTCCGAAAAACAAATGAGCGCATAACTGCCTAAAACACATAAAACCTATCATTGAAGCCACTGCGCTTCTATTTTGAAGTTTAGCTTAACACACGAAATGGTTACAGTAGCTATTCCCTCCTCACACTTCTTTTTTCTTAAATAACCCACACTACTTAAAGATACTGCACTTACCGAAAGTCAGGTGGGTCAAAAGCTGTCTTAATAACGCCAGCATATATGGCAATAATAGAAAGAATCACACAAGCAAGGAAGACCAGTGCAAGTTTGTTGACATATTTTACTCCCACAAAAACTACTATGGCCATCAGAATAATAATACATGTTCCATAAACTCTCATGTTGTTCAGCATAGCCTCTGTTTCTTCACCAACCTCTTCTGCTTTAAATACAGCAGCACTCGGAGAAATGTAGGTCTGCAAGAGATATGGCAAACTATCATACACATAACAACAAACATTTTATTAAGCAATCATTACCTGAACTTCAAAATCTAAACTTCTATTATTTTTATTCTTTCACAAACCACTTCAACCAAGTGACAGGGGCATTTCGAAAGTGTAGAGGTAAGAGGCAGGGATGAATAAAAACAAGTTTTGAGAATGACGTACTGCTTTTCATCCAGCTCCTTCTCTCCCCTTTAAAGGGTTTCTGCTCCTCAAAATCCATGTGTCTGCCAGACAGCAAAAAACACTAAGGACCTGTGGGGGGAGGGGCTATTGAAAAAAAATAGAAGAAAAAAACCCCCAAACCTTAGCCCAAACCAGATACATTCTTAGATTCATCTGAAGCATCTGCCGATTAATAATTCCACTGATTGAAAGAAAATATGAAAAGTCAAACAAAAACATAAACCATCTAGAATCTAGTACTTACCAATAAAATTTCAATGGTACCAAGAATGTACATTGCTCCTGCAAAGGTTGTACCCAAGTAGAAACAAAGTCCCACTGCTCCACCAAACTCTGGCCCTAAAGATCTTGAAATCATGTAGTAAGAGCCTCCAGCTGTGAATTTAACCAAAAAAAAAAAGACTCCAGCCCTTCAGACTAAGGACAGCAGCAGACAACAAAAATTTGAATCATTCAGTCAACATAATCAAGATAACTACCGCATGTGTCTCCACTGAAGTGTTCATATCAGAACTGTATTCAATGTCTATATCAACTAGGCAGTTAGACTGTACGTGTCAAAGTGAATATCCCCATATGCGTTTTCTGGAGAACAGAAAATAAACACCAAGGAAAAAAGAGGAAAAAATCCACAAGCTAAACAATCTAAAAGTAAAGTAAGGAAAGGATACACAGGTATAAATAGATGTGGATCAATCTTTAGTTTCCAAGCTCAAGCTGTTCACAATCAAACAATAAGCTTCCAGAATAACTTCCTTATGAGGTTGGGACAAAACAGAATTTGTCTCACTTAGGAATTCTTTTTCTTTTCTGCACATGACACCATTACCACTTTCATTGCAGGCATCTTTTTCAGTGCAGTTTAAAAGTGTTAGGTAGGTATTCCTTTTTCTTGTCTACTCTTTTACTATTCACTTTACCCTGAGTTTTTCAATTCTTCTCACTCATATTTCCCAGATATAAGCATCATCTTTAAGTCATAAGCTTAACACCCACTCCCTCCACCCCCGCCATTTCCACTGTACCATTTCCCTTTCAATAAGGCTCTAAGTTTCTAGCTCTTCATCTAGACTTCCCCCCAGCCCCCTCACAGCATGTTACACTCTGATTTCCTCTCCATCTTCTCAAATTCATATTTGTCCCACTCATGACAACTAAAGAAGTAAGAGGAGACAGAGAAAGGAAGTGCTTTATTTTGAATAAACATTCACCAGCCTTATTTGCAGACTAATTTCGTATAAGAAATACATTTATAATCTAATTCTAAAGGGCAGTCTGAAACTGCTTTTCAATATGAAAAAATGAGAAACTAACAAAAAAATTCATGACGTACAACCAATCCTTTTAAACACAATGCTGTTGCATACAACAGCAAGAGACAAGATCCTGCTGCTCAGGTCTCTTTCAGCCCTAGGTTCCTACGTGTGCTTTCTGCCTCCTCCATATACTCCAGCAGAAGCACCATTTCTCTAAGAAACTGGCGCCGACATCAAAAAAAAAAAGTGAAAACTAAGACCTGTCTAGTATAAGAATTGTCAACTTCAAAGATTTCTCTGACACTCAAATGTTAAGCAAAACCTTTACAATGAATTATAAAAATATGAGGGGGCAAAAGAGCATAACATCTTAGTTATCTGGATACTGATTAGAATAACTAAGTTTCATTGTAAACTACAAGTAGTTGAAACAAAATTTTTTGTTGTATTTGTATTTTGTACGTGGTACTGTATCCATGAAATGCAGTTATTCTACACCTTGCACAAGTTGTAGCATTTACTTTTGCCCAACAACTTTTGCATCGGTTCTGGAACCCCTTACTAAGCTGGAGAAGTGAGGAATTATTTTAACTGCATTAGGTAAACTGCTCAGACTTCATAACAATGTCTGAACACTGGTATTATAAACTAACGTGTTGAGAAACTGAAAAGGATGACAGCTTCAAAGGCTAACTGATTTTGCATCAAAAAAAAAAATCAGTTTCTTAAGTGAAAAGGAACAAGTTCACCTATTTATCCTGAAAATTTAATGATATGAGCATAACCTAGGGTGCTTATACAGAAAAAGATTTCTGGCAGCAGACTGACTGTTATTCTTGGAGAAAACAACATAACTAGCTCCAGTGTCCAGAAATGGAGTCTAGGCAAAAAACAAGAGAGTAGTCTTATTTGTAAACTTGTAAAGAAATCTGCTTTGCATGAAGACAAGTCTCCATTACAAATTCTCTTTCATTCAAACAGAATCCTATGACTGACGACAAAAAAAATGCCACAGTTCCTAATTCCCACAAGGTCCAGTTCAAAGACTGCATCTCACCTTGAAGAGTCGTTTATAAATCAGTTAAACTACAATATGCCCTTGAATCAAAAGCATTAGTTCTGATATCTCACACGATAGTAATTTCTTATCCCAGCTTTAAACTTCCATCTTTTCACCATTCACCGTTTAAGGTAAAAAGCTTCATTACCTGGAACTACACCATTTGTTGCTATTGCACTCATTGAAATTGCAGTTAGCATAGTCTGTGGAAAGATGAAATAGAGGAAATTTAAAATACTGAAAGTTTTTTGAAAGATGAAGCAAGGTAAAGTAATCAAATGAAACTAGGAATAATTTTAATTTTTTTAAAAAAATAAGATGTTACAGCAGCCAAAAACGATCATACCTTTGGTTAGGGATATCCATGCAAATTAAGTAATAAATATTTCAGTAGAAGATTCAGATAATTTAGATGTTTGCGAGTCTTTAAAAAAAGAACTGGAAGCATATAGATCGCTGAATAAACTTGAAATTAGATGTTCATTATTCCAATTAAATAATAGTGACAGACTCATCAAGTGCCATTGTTATGACAATATAATCTTCTAGTGGTCTCACACTCCAAAATATTAACTTATGTACACACAGCTGTGGATAGATTTGTAGTTCATATTTCAGTTTGTTCTGAAGTTCTGAAAAGCAGAACAGTTCAGATCTCAACCTAAATCATGAAATGTTTGCCAAAAGCTTGTTTAATAAAATCCATGTAATACTTCAAAAAAAAGCTTAGTTACCAACACAAAAGAAACTCCATACAGGCTAGAACGACATGTGACACTCAATGCACGTATACATCCCATGACTATCAGTTGCATTGACACTTTACCATTACAGGGAAATCGTTATCTGCTACTCATACATTAGAAGGCAGCAATGCTCTTCTAATGGAAGATTTGGCCAATAGTGAAGAAAAAGGTTAACTTACACAAGTACAACACATGAATACAATGATGAAAGTCTCGAGAACTCCAGCTGTTCCCACAATCCACGTTAAACGTAGGAAAAGGATGACTCCCAGGATGTTCTGCAAGCAGGGCAGGTACACACCAATAAAAGTGCCCATACGTGGAACCTGGAAACAATGTCAGAACATTAATTCCTCTGCACTAAATTTAAGTCCATAAGCACTTTCTTCCGCAAACACTCATCCCAAATGCCAAGTGAAATTGAACAGCAGCTTCGGAGTGTCCAGCTTCGTAAATATTAATACAGTCATTTATGCAGAAGGATTCCTGAAAAGACAGAAAACCATTCGTGATGGCAAACCCTCTTGTTCCAATGGAATTAGGATGAAACCTTCATAGGGGTAGGATGTCCCTTTATCTGTTGGTTACAAAGCTTTACAATCTTTCTTCTGACATACCGGTTACAGACTACCATTGAAGACAAGTTACTGCTGTAATCAAGACACCAAATATATTCTGCAAAAAGTTGATCACCAATCGTCCTGCAGCTGGCTCACAAAATGATATTCAACATGTGCTTTCATTTAAAGAAAAAAAATAAAGACAGACAATGTATTATGACAAGGCCAGGAGAAATGCAGAACTGACTACAATTTTGTTTTGCAAAAGCTGTAAAACCTGCCACAACACAGTATATTTGTGTGTGCTTTTTATTAGCTGGTGATCATCACGGGTCAAGACACATACAAAAGCATTCAGGCTTTGTCATTAAAGTTCCAGCCTTCTACACTTAGGAAGAAATCAGGCCCTGAAATACTCAACTTAGAAGCAATACTTATTTACAATACAGAAGCTATTCTTAAATCACAACTCAGGCTGTGAAAAAAGGCAATCAATTTAAATAAAGAAGCAAGCATTGGTGCTTTATAAGTTGATAAAATTATTAAGAAAACACTAAGTTTCCAAGTACTTATAAGGAACCATGGAATGCCATTTAGACTGTAATCTTTATTTTTAGCGTCTTGGGCAATATACACGTGCAACATCAACGTTACTGTCTCAGTTACACCATTAAAAATGGTAGTCTGCCAGGCTACTACTTAACCGCTATTTCGTTTCAAACATTGAACTGAAAAAAGACACATGCGTAGAAATCATATTTTCAGGTCACCAGGTAGTGCCAAAATGAGATGAAGTGCAAGTGAGGACATGGTGTTCATCGGGCTAGTCAGTTCCAGAGAGAGGAACCATGTGCTGCATTAACAAAAACCTGCGTGCAGCAGACAGAGGACAGGGATCACGCCAGGGAAAGTGCGCGCTGCTCAGTGCTGGTTTTCTAATATCTCAGGCTGTATCTTCAGATGAGAAGAAACAAATACAGAACAAGCAAAAGGAGACAAATAAAACCGCCCCCCACCCCCCAAGCAAATGCAGGATGAGCAAAAAGCTAAAACAGCTGGACTTCATTCCTTGCCCTTGCCCATTGTCCTGGTACCAATTTCCTATACTGGTCAAGTTCTAAAGCAAACAGTTCTACCACAAATATTCAGGTACCATACCATAAATCTCTCTTTCGATAAAATAAGCTCCAGTTCTAACCTTACTTTCAAGCACTTTTTCATATGTCTCTTCTACTACATGCTCATTTTCTTTTATTCGTTCTCACGTGCTTCTCCTCTTTTCTCCACAGCTCAGCATACAAACTCAGTAGCAGCACCCTTTCTCCTACAGAGACAATCGACTCCCAGTGCTCTCTTCTTCCCAGTATCTACCCCAAATTTCTCAGTTTCTGTCACCATGCTCAACCAGTTCCAGCTTATCACCCCCCTTTGCCTGGGAATTCTTGTACTCTGTCAGGTCACATGTTTTTGATCCAAATTTTCTCCTTCCAAAACAGCTCTCTGCTCTCAATCCAACATCTCACTGCAGACTCTGTTACATACGTTCCATTTCTACAGAGGCCTAGATAAGCACTTTGGGTACTCAGCAGACAATCCTTGAACAATTCAGCTGCTGTCCTCTAGCAAAGTGTGCTTAGGGATGTGCCAAACAGAGCCTCTGCTTTTCCTTCCCCTACCCACCTGATCAAATATATTTGAAGTATGCAACAAAATGCTTCCTTGGAATGAGTCTATTAAGTTGTAGAAATACTTACTCTGACACACAGAAACAAGAGAGCTTTTCAGGTAAAACCCCAGCCAATTAAAGCATATTAATAAACCAGCCAAAAAAACCCACCCAAAAATCATACTATATCCTCCCTAGAGGTAGATAAAAGGTACTGATGCTCATACAAGGACAGAAGGAAAAAGAAAAGAAAGGAAGAGGAAGCTGGGTGCACTGCATGTTTCAGGTCCTACCTTAGCATACATTTTATCCGGAGCTTTTATTGAAAGGTATTGCTAAAAACATGCTAACAATAACACATCGTGAATTAACACAAGCCCTACTGCAAATGCTTCCATTTTAAATACAGTATTACAAACCTCACTCCTGGTTTTAGGCATCCATGTATCTTCTTTTTAGGTTGAAAAATGGTCCTCTTTGTGGCTAGCTTTGACTCAATAACTTATTAGAAGTTTAAATACCTTGACTTCCTTTCGCTTGCTGTCTTCATCTGCTTCATGTTCCACCACACCTTGAGTTAGATTAGTGTAGTTTGCTAGTTTATTAAGAAGAGATGACACCATGGGATTACTATCCATTTCTTCCTGTTGGGATTTTAAGAACACTACATTTATTAAATAGTTTTTTTAAAAGTCATGATTTTATGATAGTACTTCAAACATACACACAACAGGTCAGCCCCGATTCAGTCAAATTCAAAATCAGCATGACAAAACATCAATCGGCTTTCAATCAACAAGAGTTCTAAATCTTTCTAGAAAAAGTTTAACACAACGTGGCTATCTTGCAATATTTCTTTCACTTTTTTTTTTTTACACTATACTACAACATGCAGCTTGTACAACTGAAACAAGCGAAATCTAGAGAAGGGCCATTGTTAATTATAAAAATCTATTCCTATCACTATACTGTGTTCAGGGGACTGTACTGGCAGGGTCAAGTTATCAGGGTGTTTTTCCAGCATCTTGCTTGTGTCTAGGGAGTGGCCTCAAATGATTCTCTCAAGCACCAAGATACCTATGGATCACCCTCAAGCCTACTGTTGCAGGCTTACATACTTTATCTTAAACCATGCACACTACTTCCAAATTATCCATTTGTTGAAAATACAGGCACATATGCATATCATACATAATTTCACATATGTAGTATTCCTTGACACAGAAGTCAGTCCATCTTTCTTTAGCCAAAGATCTGCTACAAAACAAAAACATGCTAAAACAAATTATAAAATCCAGGATAAGCGCATATTATAAAAGGATTCCAAGAAAAGCAGAATCGGAGTATTCAATCTAGTACACAAGATCAAATACTGGAAGGAAGACAAGAGATCAGGATTGCAAACAAAGACAAGAACTAAGGCATCTCTGCCTGAGGCATTAGGTCATGGTAATCACGGTTCTAACAGCCAAACTTCTTTGTAACAGTTTATACAAAAATCCAAACACAAGAATAATAATATTGTAGGAAACATATTATGAAACCTACGTACTACCAAAAAAGATTCACCACAACAGCAGCAATGGTGATGAAGTCACCAAGAGGCTTTCTAAGCAAGACTACAACAGCATGGTCTATAATCTGAGATACGTAAAAGACAGTCATCATTACACCATCAGCTGAGGATTTAATGTCAGCCATTACTCAAAATAACTGATGCAAGCTAATATTCAAAGGAGATTAGTGACAAAAAGCAGCTATGGCCAAATTATCAACACTGCAGAATGCAACAGGTAATTTGAACAACAGGAAGTTTTGGACATTGCTTTATGAATAGAGCTTGAAGGAAAGAAATTCAGTGACAAAACTCTACTACCCTGGCTTCCGTAAAAAAACAGTATTCTATATAATTCCATACCTGACAGAGACAAATAATGACCAACATTACTTCAATCCTTAGCACAATCTTCTCCAAGACTTAGAGAAAAATAGTAAAAATACATTATTTGGGTCATGCAGAAAGAGGGAAACAAAAGATCATGTCCTTTGTGCAAAGATATTTGAAAGGAAGAAGAGAGAAGCCTAAGACGACAACAAGAAAACAGTGGGTAGAATGCAACAAGATGGCTAAGCAAACAATGCTGGAAGGACCTTGTTCGTTGTTAACAGCAAGTATCAAAGCAAGACCAGCTGATGCTACCAGAGCAGAACAACGTAGGTTAGACCATACTAAAAGTACTACTACATCACAAAAGTGGCACTTTAGTATACCATATAAATATACTTTTTTTCTGTAAGTGACTGCAATCATTCAGTGAATTCAACAGGTATTAAACTTGCATTATAAAACAGACATTTATACTAGACAGTAGAAATAGCTATGGTATGATCTACATTGTAATTGGACAATATGACTACGTCATGGCCTATCACACACTGTTTTGTAGTTTCACTGCTTTGAGAGAACTCTGTATTTCCCCTGTTCAACATCATACATTTGCTAATCCTTTTAAAACTCGGTACTGCTTTGTTAAAGCTACTAGATTTAACTTTCAGCAGCTTTCTCTAACAACAATTTCTATATCCTAGTCCCAAAATTTTAAATGCAAGAAGGCTTATTTCATATCTTCACATCAACACATACCAAAACTTACTGTTCTTCTATTCACAGATAAACTAAAACACAGGAGGTGGGGAAAAAAAAAAAAACAACAACAACAAACTTAGCACTTCATTACATCATTCAAATCCACTGAAATGGAATGTTAGTAGGAGCCAAACCACCAAAAAGTTAGTAAAATATGGTTTTCCCCCCACTACATTTCTAGAGAGGAAGAAAGCAGGGGTTGGTTTGGTTTCATCTTACTACCAGAGGCTCAAAGGTGAAATATGTTTTAGGGTATTTAACTTACCTCAAATAGGGCCATATTCTTTCCTTCATACATGTTTCCTCTATCCACTTCTGCACTTCTAATAAATGGACTACTTTCCCTGGCAATCCCATCTCCTGGTGAAAAGTGCAACAATCAGAAACAAAAGGAAAAAAACATAAGGTATACCATAAAAGCAATACTCAAAAGATGCTGATTTAAGAACTGTTTCTAGATAACACTGGAGGTGGCTGCCAAGCACTATGTCGTCCCAGTTACATGGGCTCAACGTCCACATTTAAGGAAATTAAGATTACTTTAACAGTCTAATCTTTGTACAGTGTCCTGCCTATTAACTATTACTTCTTATTCTTTAACACATATACTGATATCTTCCCCCCTCCCCATCTTTCTAGGTTACTTGAAAGCATTTGATAATAGAACCTCACATAAACCTTCTGGAAA